GCCGCCCTGGCGGTGAAGTCAGTGAACCCATTCGACAGCTGCGTCTGTGCAGCTGACAAGGCAACAGGCAATGAGCACCCTCGTACCTGAACTTGCTTCCCATTTCGCTGAGACATTCACTGTGATGCGGAAGTTCCGACATCGACACACACGCTATGCAGACACTACTCGCATCCCTCCGCCACACACTCCTCACGCGCACGAAGATCAGAACATCGACCACGATACGGACGACACAGAAACCCCGTTTCTTGAGCACGAGGACTAACCCAACCAATCCGCCCGCCTCTCTCATCTCGGACGCACTTGCTCTCTATGTTCGTGTAGACGGTACGTCACCCGAAGCTGTGCGGACGAGCAATCAACATCTGCCCTCCGTCGCTCACATGAGGCCAGTTCATTTGTCGCAGACCCGGGCCTGAGGGAGCATAATTATGGCGGCGAAGCTCTATGCCCGCAGGCTACTACACGGTGCGCAGGGTTCGAACGGAGAAGGGCGTGCCTTTGATGTCATGGGAACGAACCTTCGTACGTGCCTCGGAATGCCTGTTGCACGACAGCTTACTCGCGATAGGGCTATCCTACTGAGAGATTTACGCCTATAGCATGCGTATCTGCGCCAAAGGACGCATCGATGTCCCGATTATATTGCGATGGTCAACCATCCATCTGCTGTGTCCCTGTGTATGCATGACTTCCCGTTGTGCGCCCAGGGATACTTGTCGGAGGTTGCCACTACGCGACGCTCGGACGCCGCGAGATGACGCGGGGTCATATTTGTGAAAGCATAGAGGCCCTGCCCACCGAAGGCCCTCTCCGCCTCGGTGTCCGACACACAATCCGGGAGAGTATGGTTCTTCCAGGTACGCCCTCAATCGCGCGCATACATCCCATCGCGCACTGTCGACGTCAGACCAGCAGCTGCAACCCTCACCCCCTTTCCTACAGTACACTCAATGAATCGCGCAGCAGTCGCCACGGGATCTGCCCCAGCCCGAATAACACACGGCGGAGCGCCCACAACTTGTGGGAACGCACGGGGAGCATGTGAACAGCTTCCGACCGCAGGTGTTGAGGCACACTTTCCGCCGCTGGTCCTATTCTGAGTCGCCTTAACTCTGCAACGAGGGCGCATGAGAATGGGTGAAACGGAGGGCTGCTTGTTCTGTTCTATGACGCGGCGCTTACCGATGCCAGGGAGGCCGCGGGATGGATCGCATTTCCTCGGGTGACATCGGAGAGGAAGGGCCGTTGAACTGCAGTTCGTTGGGCGGCGGTTGGGCGGTCCCGAGGCAATTGCGGCCTAGAGGTACATTCGCTCGCCGAGGAACGAGCGAACGAGAGAGCGCGGGGCGCCGGAGGCTGTTTGGCACGACTTCTGCGCGGCTCCACAATGCGGCCGCGTACCTCGTCTCATACTCTTCCCGCGGCGAGAAGACGACGCGCACAAGTGTGCGGCGGGCGTAGTGCGTTTGGTAGATGCAGGCTCGGCGGCCCACGCCCTGGGCTTCATACTATGAGTGCCTCGTTCGGTCGGGCTTTCTGCCGCATATGGGTCAGAGGATGTCTCTGCGAGCGGTGAAGGGAGCGGAAGCTGACAACATGACGAGCACGATGAACTCGTCGCCGCTCTCATAAACCTCGGGGTCGACCGATCTTTGTATACCGTTCACTCCGTCCATCCGCAATACACCCAGAAACCTTCCACCGCCACATACCATCCGCCGACATGCCTAGCAACAAGACTCTTCTCGCCTCTCTCATCTTCTCCCTCGCAATCCTCGCTGCCGCCACCCCCACGCCACCCCCGGACGCCGACGCAGGAGTGGGGAACGGCTCGTCCGGGATATGCGGCGCGAACACGCTTCAATGCTGCCTCGGGCTGATGCCCGCAAACGGGACCGCCGCGTCCGCGCTTCTCGACGCGGTCGGGGAGGTCGTGCGCGACGTGAGCTCGCTCGTCGGCCTTGCGTGCACGCCGCTGGACGGTGCAAGTGGCGTTGACAAAGCTTGGTGAGGACTGTGGAGATGAGGTCTCGTGGCTTTCAGTCAGGCTGATAGTAGGATTCGGCTAATAGTGTCGAGAACCGCGCGGTGTGTTGCTCGGGGCGTAATGCGCTCGGTGAGCGAAACTTTGGCTTCTGCTGAGCTCCGGGCGGATGTTGACGCCTTTCACATAGCCGGGCTCGTATCACTCGGATGTCTCCCGATCCCGCTGTAGCGATTTGCAATGGAGCAGGAGAACAGAATGAAGACAAGGGAGGGGACTTGAAGACGCACCAACTTGGATTGTTATAAGATTGTACCAGCCTGAGTGTACTTAACCTGAGAAAACGCTTCCCCTCGCATTAGTTGTCAATTTATGCCAGTGCCCAACGAGCAAGCAAAGCCTAGTAGAATGCTTCAGCTCCAGGTTACTTCAGGTTACTTCCGATAAGAGTGCGGGACCCATAATGTGCTGCGCTCGCCAATCATTAGTAGAGACGCCCACTGCTGCGCCGCGAGAACGAGTTTAAGTTGGAATCGTAACCAAGTTTACGTGTAGACATCGTTCCTGGATGATGATTTTACTGCTCACATCCATCCCTTCTGTTCGGCGAGAAGAACGGTAAGGGAACGCCAATGCCCTTCGAGTTCAATTCCTCTTCAATTAGCTCATCCGGGTCAAAAGTGCCGGGCCTAGGATTAGTTAGTATGTTGCCGTGTCGTTCGGCGCACTGCAGCAGAATGCAGGATTCGGAATTGTCTAACGCGAGCTCACAAGCGCACCTCCGGTGGTAAGGAGGACGACTGCGGGAAAGATACGCGACACCTCGAGTCCAACAAATTCACTGGGTTCTTCCTAGTTGCGAACACCAAGAACGCGATGACGAGATTGAGGGATAGGCGCCCATACTTATCTTGGGTGTGAGGTGTTCTCTTCCGACTCATCGCTTGCAGAGTGCTGATGTGGGGAAAGCAATAGCAATCGGCGTAATTCGCAAATGCTACTGTACAAAGCCAGAAAGGAGACTTTCGCCGTCGCGCGCTCGGGATGGTGACGAGGTGAAGAAAGTCTGGAACGAGGTATTGTACGCCACGGGAGATGGGATCGAACAGCCACTAATTGCAATCTGGGGTTCGTAGTCGTTCTGGGCTGTGATTGGTCCCTCTGTGGCAGGATCAACCGACTGCGGCGGGGCGGACGTCAATTTTAATCTGCCAGCCTTGTCGCGGACTCGCGGTCGGGGCCGACGGGGTGCTTATATTTCTGTGCCCGACGCGTCCTCGCCGCCCATCCCTTGGACTCGATCCCCCACCTTCAAGGTCAAGCTCGACATCCTCTCCTCGGGACTCCCGCCTCGGCTCCCACACTCCTCGCACAAGCTAGCAAACCCCACGCTCCTTACCACCCCACAGCCTATCCGCCATGTTCCCCTCCTTCGCCCGCATCGCCCTCTTTTCCCTCCTCGCCGCCCCGGCCGCGCTCGCCCTTAGCTCCCCGAGCCCTGTTCCACTCGCCCCGACGCGCGTCCGCCGCGCCGCGGCCATCCCTGAGAACGACGCCCTCAACCCCGCTGGCGTCGTCGTCCGCTCGCTCCCGCACAACCCCTCGGACCTGCACGGGCTCACGAACGCCCAGCGTCTCGCCCGCGGCCTCCCGCCCCGCAGCCCTGCGCTCAACACTCGCCGCCGCGCTCTCACCGCGCGCCAGTCGGCCGCCCCGTGCCCTTTGCCCCAGACGACCGGTACGATCCGTGTCACCGAGACCGCTACGAACAACGTCCTCGGCTTCATCGGCAGGCAGGCCAACAACTTTGGCGAGTACGGCGTGGACGGGGATGCTGCGAACGCGCTCTCCGTCGTCCTCCGCCGCTGCGAGTCCAACGACACGCCCTTTGACATCGAGACTGTGGTACGTCTTTCCACCATCACAGACCGGTTTGAAGCGCCAAATTAACAATTGTCGTAGAACGGTCTCTCGGGTTTCCCTTATCTCGGTGCAGTCGTGGGCTTCGCGAGCACGGACGACAACCTGAGTGCCGACTCGTTCAACTACGTCTACACCGCCGGCACTTCTCAGAGTACGTCTCTTCTTTATCGTCCCCTATCGGTGTATCTCACGCGTCTTGCCCTACCGTAGTCCCGTACGGCCCCGCACAGAACGCGCCGAACGCGTTCTCGTCGGCATCCGGTACGCAGAAGAACGCCGAGTCCGCGATCTGGACGCTCGCCGACGACAACACGCTCACGCTGAACTGGGTCAACACCGACGGTGCGCTGTACCCCGCGGCCGACGCGCACCTCATCTACGTCGAGTCCTCGCAGACGTTCGCGCTCACCGGCAACGCCGACCAGTTCCAGCAGACGTTCGGCCAGGTTTCGGAGGTGGTGAGTATCCACTTTTTGTGCCCGGTGTTTCTGGTTCTGGACTGGGAGCTGACTATATGCGCGTTCTTCTTTCTTTCACGTGCAGACGCTCACTTTCGTCCCCGCCGCCTGAACGCTCGAGCCAATGAACGCGTCGACACGCTAATGGCCCCGGCCGTAATGGTAGCAGTAGTTATACTCACGGTTTATAAGTATCAGAACGGCGGTAGGCTCGGGTTATAGAGTACTTACACGTATAGCAGCATATAACCTATCAGTAGTGTACCCTTCGTATCATAGAGGGGGAATAAGAATGTTGTTGTAGGGTATCCTGTTGAGAGCCTGAGTTCGGCGTTCCTGAGTGTGAGCAGCCGTGTGTTCCTCCGTGGACAGACGGGGATCTCGAAGATCTATACTGTATTAATATCAACGCACTCCGATAAGGGAAGATCGGCAAGTCTGCTTGATGCAACAGGCATGGACCATACATACAGTATATGTGCACGACGAGGTAGAACGGTAGAACCCTGGGGCTATATCTGTCAGGGCATATACTGTACGCTCTTGAGGTCATCCAAATGCATAGTATTCAGTATTCACACCAAATGTATGTGAAAAAAAAGTCGAAAGAGCTCTCGCGCTGTACTCAGTTCCCATTAGCCGACTCGAACGACTGACCTCGTCATTGCACCAAGCTGAGCAGCCGAAGGTACTAGTGACGCGCTCTACCAACTGAGCTAAACGGGATGCTGTTGTGGGTGATATAGTCAATTCACGTTCACTGCTGCAGAGAGAGGTACTGTACGTAAATGTGCACCTTTTGTTTCTGAGTCTAGCAGGTGACTAGCAGCGGACCTAGGCTCGCTTGAAGCCGGCCTCTAGTTCAACGGAAAGCAGTCGTCTCTTCTGTTTTGAATAGAGGCTGGAACGACTTGTCAGAGGGGGTGCGGGCGACGGTTGAACGTTGACCCCCGTAGGAATCGCGCAGTTTCCCACCCTCTCGTTCAAGCACTCACTCATCAATATTATTGCTACAAATTGAAACATAAATCAAGATAATGTGTGTCATTCGAAGGTACTCAAGAGGCGTTCCGTGGGGTTTATGAAGGCGAAGTTCAAAGATACAGTAAAAGACCGTGCAGAGGTTCCTTTTGCGCGGACGCATTTGGCGACCTGTCAAGCGCTCGGACTCTACGCACCGACAGGTTGAGACTCCGACGTTCTCACGGGGGTCACCAGCACGACCTCTCACAAGCCGTTTCCTACTAACTTGATGCGAACTTAGCACTAAGTATTACTTTGAAGTACGCAGTCTTTACTCGACCAGTCGCGAGCAGGTCACTACGTCTCATGGATGCAATAATTGTAATATTGACTACGCCCCACGTACGCTCGCTTCTTTCATCCACCATCGAAGCCTACAATAGTACTAGTGCGTCTCGAATAACAGGCGGTCCCGACCGAGGTGATATCGGTTCTTATACTACGAACCATGCTGACCATGAAGGTATCACAGGTACTGCCGGCAGGGTAACATACATATTAATGTTGGATGCGTAGCTCGGATCCGCGGAGTATCAGGCGCGTGGCGTCGTGCCCTCGTTGTGCCCGTACGTCCGGTGAGAGTCGAACAGTCCGCTCCCTCTCCTCACCTGACACGGATGATAGCTGGCTTGCTATGAGAGGAGTCGGTCCATTACACTGAGTTGCCCGCACTCGTGTTCAGAGGCGGTAATCCGTTGTGCGTGCATGGTACATGTTATATCAAGTACGTATTTTGTTCGCCAGGATGCCCGGTGAGCGAATCCGTGCAGCATACCATTTATGTTTCCACCCCCTGTAAACGTGCGGGTAGGTTCTGGTGCGAAGAAAGCGCAAGACAGGTGGATATATATACCTCGCATTGACTCTAGGCGTTGCTCATTGCACCCCCCCGCACGGATCGCTCAGGAACTCGCCTCTGCACGGGTATATACCTGTAGCCCACACTCATTCTCACACAAGCACACAAGAGCACAACCATGCACCTCCTCTCCTTCTCCAACATTATCCTCGCCGGCATCTTCGCCGTCCATGGGGCGCTTGCCGCCGGGGCGGGAGTGTCCCCCTCCCTCTCCTTGGACCGACCTCGCGGGTATCGGTTCGGCAAGCCTGTAGCTCCCCACCCCGCAGCCCCGATCCATGGCGGAGGCCCCGACGTGTATAGGCCCGATTACAAGGAGTCCGGCGGCGCAGTGGCGTCGACTATCCACATTCTCGACAACCCCTACCTCCCCCTCCAGCCCGCCTCCGACGAGGACCATCCAGGCTCGGTTCTTGCCAGTAACCTCGCGCCCGAGGATCCTACTATCGCGAATGGCGCCCGCTTTACCGCTCCCGCCCTTGCTCGCACCCGTGAGGTTTCCCCGGACGTCGAGGGGCTCATCGGAGGCTGCAAGAAGATGTCGGGCAAGGTCGCAGTGACCCAAGTCACCACGGGTCTTACTGTCGGATTTCTAGCCTTCAACCCATACCAAGTCCTGTTCCCGGATTCCACCACGGCGTTCCTCATGGACACTGTGGGCTACACCATGAGGGCGTCGGACATTGTGAGCTTCACTGCGTGTCCGGATAAGCCGTTCACGGCGAGCGTTTTCGTGAGTAGTCGCGCTCTTCTACAAGGATGTTACTCCTCGACGACGAGGATCATCAGCTCGAGAGGATGCGTAGTACCACAGAGCTGACCTGGGAGCATGTTAGATCCGGGAGAAGTGGCCTGGGGGCCCTGGCGCGGACTTCCCTATCACTGCCATCCACATCCCCACAGACTACGGCATTCCAGAGTTATCCAACACGACGTACTTCCTCGGCACGGTACCCGGTATGTGACCATTCACGAATCACAGGCTGCGCATATTCGCTTACCTATGAGCGATCGCCCGTCCCGCACACCTCCTCCCGTCCCCGTGCACTATCACCGGACGCATTCCACCAATGCGTCGCGTTCTACATTCCGCACCTGTCACGATCTTCCCCCGCTTCGACGGACCGGATAGCCTCAAGGAGCGAGCCAGCGCGCTCGGACGTCCTCTGGGAACTTGCGACGGACGGCAGCAACACTCTCACCGCCGCCGCGGGCGCCGCTACGCTCCTCGCGAATTTCGACCACCAGTTGGTTCTCATGGACCTGCTTCCGACGGACCTGCTCCCTACGGAACTGGTGGACCTGCTCCCGACGGAACTGGTGGACCTGCTCCCGACGGACCTGCTCCCGACGTCCGACGCTGACTCGGAAATGTCAGCCGCCAACGAGCAGGAGGTGGTGAGTGGCCGGCGACCCAAGTTTTCTTGACCTGGTTCGCGCTGACCACGGACCGTTGTGGATGTCTCTACCTGGATGATCTGCGTAGCGGTTCACTTTCGTGCCCGACACGATCGAGCCGGCGTAGATATCCCTTGGGGCGCGCCCTACTCCGGGCAGGTTTGAGCGGTCGTGAGGACCCGGACTTTGCTAGTGATATGTTATGTCCTGTCAAGTGCATTTTGCATCATTCGCGACCTGTCAGAGCGTCTCAGCGATAAGACGGACTTGGGCATACTGGTGCGGTTATGCCAGCTAGAAGTCATCAGTACTACTGTATACCCCTACAATCATTGATGACATGCAGGAAAACCCCACTTCGCAGCAAGTGTCTCACTATCTCTTGGTGGTACAGTACTGGCGCCGCGGCACACACAATTATCAGGGGAGAGGGACAAGGGCTTGGATCCATGGTACGACATTCAATATACAGTGAGGATCCTGAACGGATCCGACCCGCCGCCCTCCAACCCCGCGAGGACGGCCTGGCGGACCGCGCCCAGGTAGTCGCCCAGGCGCCGCCCAGCCTGGGCGGAGAAGTCGTCGTACAGCCGGTACCGCGAGTCCGCGACGACGTTGACGAGGTCGAGCGCGTGCTTGAGGTTCCTGCAGCAGGCACGCGATTATCAGTAACGGTAGGTAAAGTGGGGGATGAGGCGAGAGAGCGTACTCTGAGATGCGCCCACGGGAGTTGACGAGCGTCGCGTGTAGGCGGATGATCAGCTCCGGGATGAAGATCTGGCGGATGCGCGTGAGGTCGCGTTGACGTTTCGCGTCTATAGATGAAACTTGTCAGCTCGCACATCTATCCACACATGGAAGACATCTCACTGTTCGCACGCGACTCGGCGTCGCCCAGGAGCCAGTCTGTGGTGAGCAGCTTCACGACCTGCTCACGTGCCTGTTCGATGAGCATCTGCATCAAATACATCGTCAGCATCTGCTCACAATATGGTATTGGTGAGGGAAAGTGTCGCGCACCTTGTAGTCACTGAGCCACGCCGCGCGCGTCTCCTTGTTCATCTGCGGCTGCTCGAGCGCCTCGCACTCCGCGACGCGCGCAAGCGCATCCCACACCCCGAAGAACTGGCGGTAGTGCATGTACTCCGTCGCCTCCTCTTCCGGTTCGCGCAGAGTTCCGAGCTCTGGGGGAAGCATGTCGAGAAGACTCTTCGCAACCTGCACCCGACCGTGGCCTGCATAGCGTGTCAGATGAGGGATATGGAAGGACGGCCCCCTGGAGACGTACCGAGGAAGTAGCGGAGGATGACGTTCGTCTGCTCGAGAGCAGTGTCGTACGTGCTCTCCAGGAACGTTGTCCACTCAATCGATCGCACAAGCAGCCACTCTGGTCCGTTCGGCGGAGGCTCCATCGCAGTGACGAATGGCAACGGGCCCTTCGCCGGTGGCAGGATCTGCGGTGTCACAGCATGACTGTAAGTACAGCCCTCAAATCCATCAACCAGTGAGTGTATGCGCACCGTGAACGCCTTCTCGATGGTCCGCTCGGCAGTGACGATAGCGACGCGCTCGATGTCCAGCCCATGCTCCCGGGCACGCGTCAACGCGAGGCGCCGTTCGTTGATATCCGCCGAGAGCTCCAGTGAGGTGAGGAACAACGCGTAGCGTTCCACCGCGTTGTCGCCCAACGCCCCAGCGTACATAGCAATCAGATCGCGTTGGCCTGCGGCCTGTGCTCGACAACACCTCGGTAAGGACATAAAGAGGAAGCGACAGGTGCTGAAACGTACCTCGAGGACCTGCAGGTATGCCTCCAGGATGATCTGTGTCGCGAAAGGCGAAACGGGCATGTCAATCATTTGTAGGAACAGGCACAGGTGCGCGAAGAAGCGCGTCATTGTCGTATACCTTCAGATGTGATGAGTACATACGATGCGGCTTGCGGGTTTACCACTCACTCTGGAGACGAAACGTATGTACCCTCCTGTAGCCCACTCGCAAAGGCCTCAAGTAATGCGTCCGTGCGATCCAGGATGATATGCAGTTGCGAAACATGGTATGGGTTATCTGCAGGCGCACTGCCACTTGGGATGAGTCTGGCTGTTCAGAATACTCCTGGACATCGCACTTACCCCTCGGCGACCTGCACGCTCGAAAGCGACTCAAGCGCTTGCACAACCTCATGCTCCCATTCCTCATCAGCCTCCTCCTCGCGAGTGCCTACCGCAAGGACCGCAGCGCCGCTCTCCAGCGCGCCCAGACCGTTTTCCCAGAAGCACTCGCGCTCAATTGCGGAGAGCCCTACGCTCAACCGCTCTTCGCACGCGAGGCTGACCAAGGCCCACAGATGGTCCTCCCATGTCCGCGCCACCGCCTTGAGCGATAGCGAAGTCTGCGGGGTCGGGGCAAGCGCAGCGTATAGCGCGCGTTCTGTTGGTGAGAGTGC